AGTTGCCGGCGCAGCGAAGCGGAGCTGGCAACTCCGTTTGGCGGAAGGGCGGGCCTGCTTGTTTTCAGTGTTCATTTCTCCTGTGTGTGTGCGAAGATGGGAGCGCACATTTGAAGTATAGAAGAGACTGCGATCGCCCCCACCGCCCTGGGATATTGGTGTTTGGGGGCCCTCCTGCCGGGGCCCTTACCCTCCCAGTCCGGCCCTGGCCAGGGCGCCGTCGGGCATGGCCGGGTTGGCCGCGAGGCGCTTCTTGATCTCCTCGAGCTTGTGCTTGGCCTTCTCCTCGCGGGGCTGTAGTGCTTGTCCGGCCCGTGCCCTCGCGGCGCGTCTTGAAGGGGAGCTCGCCCGCGGCTTTCTTTTGAAATTGTCCCAACGGGCACTTGGCTACGCCCCGCAGCACTTGCAGCGGTATTGCGGATAGTATTTACACTACTTTTAAACCAAGAAGAATAGGAGCAAGCTTTTAAAAAGTCAGAGAGACCGGCATTCCAAAGAGAAGAGAAAAATCCGTCAAGTCCACATTATCCAATGTGGCTTAGGAAGGCTTCGCGTGCTTGGTGTGGGTAATGACCAGCGCATAGCCTTGACTTACACATAAACGGCATCCAAGGTAAAGCAGAGGTCAAGCTAAATCCCTAGAATAACTAACTGAGCACTTACAATTACACAACGTTTTTATTGTACTATTACACACCCTATTTAAATTTTACACTTCTTAAAATCAATTGACTGACTGTGACGGAAGCTGTCGCCTGATCCAGCCCTTGCTCCTCTACCCCTTCCCCTCCCTCGTCCCTCTGCCCGGCGGTGGCGTTCAGGGCGGGAAAAGCGTGCTGACCTGCAAATTTGCTATCGGTGACTCATGTCTGGGCTGGGGTCGGCCTCCTGTCCGCCCCGCTGCTGATCGCCATCCAGGGCCCAGCGGCCCCGGCCAACAACGAGACGCAAGCTCATCCTTGGCCTACGAATTCCATTCAAATTTTGTTGATCACAGAAAAAACTGGCCTGCCGGCCGGTAGAGAGACAGTCCAGCAAACTGAGGGTAAGAATAATTTACACATTTACCTACAATTTACAAATAACAAGTTACACATTTACTTACAATTTACAGATGATTACAATAATTCACACATACTCCATGGACAAGCCCAACGGCAGATGGTAACTAAAGTACAACTGGTAGGTCTCTACTAGCAGCACAGGCGCCACCGCATCACTAAACACAGCGTCTATAACAGTGGCGCCACTCTGGTCCCAGTACGTGCCGTGCACCTTGTCCTGCTTGCGGGGGCAGCGCACC